TTAAATATCATTTAACAATTGATAAGTTATAACAAACTTAAAGCTATGAATGATTTGACGTTTGAATAGATCTCTGTTTACAAGAAGAGTGGATTGAGTGGTGAATCCTGGAAATGACTTTTGCTATCATCCCCTTCCTGTATGTCTTCGCAATATTTCTTGCGTTTCCTCTCAATCTTGTGAACAATTTTTACTAACATTTTGTATTTTTTAAAAAATGAAAGCATTTTATCAATTGAAATGAATCGATAAAAGTTTATACAATACATGTTATGCTCTAAGAATGCCTAATAAAAGGCTATTCATTGCATTTAATTTGTTGATTATGTGCACACATATAGTGGACAGTGATTGCGGTCGACTTCATAAGCCTCCAAATGGTGGCCATAACCGGAAAGGACAACGTTTTAAAGAGGATTCAGTGGCCGACTATTTTTGCAACGATTCTCACCGTTTAATCTTTAATGAGCAAAGAGTTTGCAAACACGGCGTTTGGACGGGAAGGCAAGTGGTTTGCGGCCTTCCCGTTATAAATGGTGTCTCACTTTCAAAAGTGATTGTGTTTTCTGATTCCACTTCTCCGCCAAAACTCTACGATAATATGACCGATAGTTTTGATGACATTTCTTTCATATGGAAAGCTATTGATAACGAAAATTGCATCACTTCTGAAACGCTAAGCGATCAGAAATGGACTTTTGTTTTAAGTAAACCAGAAATTATTAATTATTTTGTAATCAAATTAAACGATTATAATATATCTGCAAATAATATTACCATTAATATAACAAGAGGTATAAAAGCGATGCTAATCATTGGGAATCGACCAAAACTGCACAAAAGTTGCCAACTCTTGAAAGTGAACGATAAAAATGAGTTGGAATTCATATGCAATACATTTTCAAAGTTAAGATCAGAGCTCAGAGATATCGACAGAAGCGATGAAATTCACATCAGTTTTGGCTCAAACTTGTCCCCATTGTTATCCATATGTGGTTTAGGAATATATCAGTTCCCACACGACTGCGGAAGAATCGGTTTACCATTAGAACTGATTATAGAGACTTTAAAAACAGGTCTAGAATTAGAGGCCAGTTGTCAAGACGGCTACGAACTCGTAGGAAATACTCGAATATTTTGCGGCTTTGATGGCCAATGGATGGACACTCCGTTATGCAAACCATTGAACTCATGCCCTCTTATAAGTCCTGTTAACAAATACGACGATAAAGTGGTTAGAATTGAATACAAAAATGCATTTTATTTTGCGGCTTTGATGGCCAATGGATGGACACTCCGCTATGCAAACCATTGAACTCATGCCCTCTTATAAGTCCTGTTAACAAATACGACGATAAAGTGGTTAGAATTGAATACAAAAATGCATTTTATTTTAATAACTCATTGATGGCAGTGAACGAAACGGATGCCATTCATTACTGTCCCCGAAATAACAATACAAATAATAAGAATAAGTCTCTCTCAAGAACTGTCTCCAAATACATCCGACAGTGCGATAACGGCGTCTGGAGTGATGTCGACACCGATTGCGACATACATTTGGTCGACAATGAGATAATTGAAAATACTTTTAATTACAATTCTATATTAATTACCGTAATTGTAATGATAGCGATGTTCTGTGTTTTGTCTATCGTTTCCTATTCTATACTCAAATACAAGAATAAAAAGTTGACAAAAGAGACGGTAAAGAGTGACTCCGACGCGACCAACAAATTGATAGAAAGTGATCGCCATTTCATTAGATATAATCCAAACCGAATCAGTGATCCATTTGACGATTCCGTGTACTCAATGGTAGCCGAAGATAGCTATGATATAATTCATTTCGATGGCAACCAATTGAATGCATGCGAACAGTACGACGACACCGAAACGCCTAAACCATTATATCTTGAGATCTATCCTCTCAGCCAACTTTCATCCGGAAGGAGTTCTCCACAAGACTTGTTATGATTCCTTCTTATTGCTCACATAATTATATAAAATATATTGTTTTGTATTTCATTTTTTGTAAAAATATTCATCAATTTTTAATTAACAGATTTATTAGTTTTAATATTTGAACAAATTTTATGACAACAGTATTAACTGATTTTATAATAAAAATATTTCAATGAAAAATTAGAAAAGTAATACAAATTAGATGAACACTTCTTTGATAACTGACTATAAAACACAATTTCGACAAATGGCTCAACATTTTGATCAATGCATTAATGATTTATGTCTTGTTAGGAGATCTTTGCGCTTAAACCTCATATAACATCCGTCGGCATCGCATTCAAAGGGCCGTTGATTCGAGTGCTTCACCTGATGTTGGATTAAGTGATGTTTGGTTCGTGTCTTATAGTCACAGGACTCGCTAGATCTTTGCGCTTAAACCTCATATAACATCCGTCGGCATCGCATTCAAAGGGCCGTTGATTCGAGTGCTTCACCTGATGTTGGATTAAGTGATGTTTGGTTCGTGTCTTATAGTCACAGGACTCGCATTCAAAGGCACAGATTTTGTGCTTTTGTGACAAATGGTTGAGAAGCGATAGATTGGCGAAGAAGTTCTTTTCACAGACAGTGCACACGAATGGCATCGCCTTCTTGTGATGTTTGTTCGTATGGATCTCCAAAGCGGTGGCCGACGCCAACATCTTATGACATTCTTCGCATTCAATCGGATCCACAGTCTTCACCTCTTTAGCCACCGCTCGGGGAAAGTATATCGAGTATTCACCCGAATCTCCGGCCGAAGACAAATTCCTTTTACGACTACTTCTGAGACGTTTGCCTAAAACAATACAACGATAAAAACACAAATCAATGATAAAGAATAAGACAGTAATTTGTGGACAGAGATCGTGGCTGTAATCACACAAAAGTTACCAGAACTTGGATTTCCAGCACTTTTTCTCTTTTGAGCCACACTTTCAAGATTTAGATTATCTATAAATGCAGTGAAAATGTTTTGCCGTTAAGTCTCTCAAAAAGAAGTAGAAAACAGCGAAATCAATAAATACTTAAAAACGAGTCCATATTTTGTCCATTCATTTCGGTGTCCAGTAATTGACTATTGTTTTCATCCAAAGAGTTGTGACTGCGATTCAAATGCACTAAAAGAAGATCTTCAGTATTGAACACTTGACGGCATTCATGGCATGTGTTACCGTCTGATTGTCCATTTGATTGGCTCGTCATTGAATGGACATCGAGTCCATCGCCAGTTGTGTTACCACTTTTGGTCATCGTTTCTAAAACACAGACCGGAAGAGAGGGCTAAAGAC